GCGCCCCCCGCGGGCGAGGCCGGCGCCCTCCGCGGGCGAGGCGGGCCCTGCCAGGCTGGGTTAAAAATAGTGTGGTCGGGGACGGACGCGGAGGCAAGGGCCTGGCCCCGAGCGCGTCCCGCTGCTCGGCCCGTTTAGTACCCCGCCAGCCGTGGACGTCGGGGTGGTTTTTACTTCTGGCAACATCCTGCTTGGAAAGTCAGCTTTCAGCCCTTCTCTGGCAAACAATCATTAACATCAAAGGAGACTTACCAGTTCGACCTTGATACTTGAAGTTAGTTCACCCAGCACTGCGATTTCCCTTCACTGCGCGGCCCACTGTAGTTCGGTGCCGGTGTTAACAGTGTTAACTTTCAGCGCTTGGCATGTGTTTGCCCAGTGTGCAGCCAGGTTGTTTTTATGGCCAGTACCGTTTAACTCCTTCACAATTCGTTTTGACGATGGAAAATTAAGAACTTTGCAGTGTCCTACATGTGTTTTAAAACAACTTCACGTTTTCCGATGATACTCTTAATTTTTTTATATTTACACTGTATGCCTCCAGTTTTATGAAAATGCCGGTTTCTTGAAACTGGCAAAAGACACTTGACTTAGTACAAACCTAAGCTTATAAGAAAGCGAGTATTTTAATTCCAGAAGCAAAAGTTATAGGAGAGAAATCAAAGAAATGTAAAGATCAAGAAAAAAAACCTTACATTTAGTGTCATTGAAGGTTACAATTCAATTTAATAATTTAGATTTTTCAGTTAAATGAAGAGGCAGTTTATAACTTTTTCTTGAATATTTTAAAATAGGGATTTTTTTTTTGTATTTTGAAATTATCTAAGTTTCTTAAGGAGATGCTGTTTTCAGTTTGAAGGCTTTTTATTACACAGGCAGTAATTTTGTAGTAAGACTACATTGTGTTAATGGTGTGGTGAATATTTACCCAACAAATATTTGAGTAGATGTATTCCAGCACTGTGCTAAGCACCGGCAAAACAGACACGAATAAATGATCTTTTTTCTCAGGATCTTTCAGTGATGGAGTGGTGTATATAAAGACGCCATATGGTAAATTCTGTACTAAAGCTACTGGTTTAGTGTAGTAAATGAAACAGGAAGGGATCTTAGGGAGGACTTATAGATGGAAGAACATTTGAAGGATGAATACTCACTCATCGGGTGGTGGATACGGATTGGCTTTCTAGGCAAGAGGATCTTATGTTCAGTGGGAGGAAAAGTTGAAGCAGCATATCATTGTGTAAGTACACTCGGTTGGAACCTGGACATATTGGGCAAAAGTACAGCTCTAGATGATTATAACAAGTAGATTTCGAAGCCCTTGCTCCTTCTGAGGTTAGGCTTAAAAAACTGGCCCTTTGTGTACAAAATATCAACTTAGGTTGTATATTGGATAGTGTCCAGTTAAGCTCAGACTTCAGGTGAATCATTGTTTATTTGTAAACAATGTACAAATGGCCAGACATGGAGGGAGACCTGCTGCTTTAGAAATTATGTGTGCCTAAAATCAGTTGTTGTGAGGATGGAGATGTCTAGAAGTTAAAATATATATAGAAGTAGCATTCTTGTGATGACTAGCATATTTCTGGCTTGAGTTCAGAGAAAAATATTTGGATGGTTAATAAGGATATATTGTTAGTGATCTCTTCACATTATGTAAGTTGGCAGTGTCCTATATTTACAGGGGGACATACAGACCTAGCTGTTGAGAATACAGGTCAGCAAAGAAGAAAGGAATGGTTAGGAAGGTGGAGAGAAACATCTAGACATCACTGTTAGAATTTCCAGTAAAGAATGCTCAGTAATGTCAGATGCCATGGATCCAAAGCATGCCCTTATTTTTGTAATCAGGAGACTTGATGGCATTAGCAAGAACAGTCTCAGTAAAATCAGAAACCACATTAATGTAGGCTGAGTGGGGTGGTTGTCTGGTGAGGTAATGAAAGTTGACCAGTATTTGGGGATACGGAGAGAGTTGGTGGTATTAGAAAAGTGAAAACTAGTTCCTGTTACAACTCATTTGTTTAAATAATTTGATAAGCAAAAAAAAAAAAAAAATCTTTTGTGTTTTCTACTTCCCTTAAACTATTAAGATTCAGGGCTCAGGTTTAATTTTATTGCTTCATCAAACACTTTTTTCTTTTGGCTTTTTGAGACAGAGTTTCTCTGTGTAGCCCTGGCTGTCCTGGAACTCACTCTGTAGACCAGGCTGGCCTCAAACTCAGATCTGCCTGCATCTGCCTTCTGAGTGCTGGGATTAAAGGCATGGGCCACCACTGCCTAACCATCAAAAATTCTTAAGTATTTTTACCCCCAAGCTGCTGATACTGCTGATTTTTACTAAAGCCCAGCAGTTTTACCCATCAATCCATTTGCTCAGTCAGTGCAAGTGTCAATGTTCTAGAATTAATAACATCTTAGTGTTATTACGAAAATAATTTTGACCTTTGTAGGTTCCTGGAAGAGTCTTGGGAACTCTCAGGGATCTGCAGGCTGAGATTAATTAATGTTTTACTGTAAGAAAAATATTGTTGGCGACCCCAGAAACAGAATAGAGTAAAAGCCTCTGTTTTTGACGTAGCTATGAGTACTTCAGAAAGTAGAGAGAGACTGGGGAGTTGGCTCAGTGTGGGAAGTGCTTGCTGCAGAAACTGAGGACCTGAGTTTAGATGCCCAACAGGTGCACATCTGTAATCTCGGTACTGTGTGATGGAGACAGGTGGGGCTCACTGCCCAGCCAGTCTAGCAGAAATAATAAGTTTCAGGTTCAGTGAAAACACTGCATTTAAAAAAAAAAATTCTAATGGAGAACAACAGAACATACCTCACATTGGCCCTGCAACCCCCAACATGGGCATGCACAAGTTAGTGCACACACTTAAGAAAAGAGAGAGCCACCTAACAACTGAGACCTGGGCCAGTCTCCATGCGGGGAAAAAAAACCACACTGAGCCTGCATCAAATACCCTGAAACATCAAGAAAACCAATTTTTACTTAACTCAGAACTTGTAAGTGGCAACAAATCCTGGTTCTCCGTAATAAAACATATTCGTGTCAACCCAGCCAGCCAAATTAACAGTGAAGGTGCTGATTTACTCTAAAGGCCATAAAAATAACTGAAAAGTCTGAAAAATATTATTATTTATCACATGTGGTCAGAGCATAACATCCTGGAGTTGGTTCTCCTTCTACCTTGTGGGGCCTGGTGATGGAATTCGGGTCATGAGGTGTAGTGGCCAGCATCTTAAGCAGCTGAGCCACTGACCCTGAAAATGATTTAAAAGTAAGTGTGTTTATATTCCTTGGAGATTTACAGCTCTGTACTCAAACATGTTCAGAGTAAAGATGACAAAATGCTTTCAGCATAATGACTAAGAATCAGAAAAGACTTCTAGCTATTTCAGCTATGTCTGAGAAGTCTAAATTCTGAAGGGTTATGGAACTGTTAGCAGAGGTTTGTGTGGTTGTCTGTAGAGGTGGAGAGAGGGTGTAAGAAGCACTTTGATACAGACTTCATTGCTTGTTTCATGAGAGTAACTTGAAATGTCAGCACTCTCAGTGTTTGACTTAGTAAAAACAATAAATGTAATTGGCTTTACATAGGAATAATCTCGTGCAATATATTTCCAGGTATGTTTCTGAATATTTCAGTTGATTCCTTTTAAAACAAAATGTTAAACATGAAGAAATTTAGGTAGATAACTTTGGTTTATCGGTGACACTAAATAGCAGTGAAGATCCTGCAACTGGAAGTGCTTTATTTCAGCACCCGTAAATGAGATGAACGCCAGTATTCCCAGGAGAATTCTGGGAATAAGCAAGGTATATGAATAGGAGATAGAATTGTGACTCTGGCTGTAGGATAGATAGATAATTTACTGAAAATATCAGGCGTGCCCAAGTTTTTTCTACATAAACTTTTATCAGTGAAAAAATTTTTGCACAAAGCCCCTCTATGCATCTGTAATTTGGGTGTACGTTTTAATGTTAGTACCTTAAGCCTATTGTATATTTAGAGCAAATTTCATATGTTTTGTTTTCTTTAGCTTGATTTTTGAGATACTTTTTTATCTATTTTGTTTTCGTTACATAACAAAATACACAAGGAAAATGCTAGTGGTAGAGTTAATACGGAATGGATTAATGTCTGTAGCATTCCAGGAGAATAATAGGTTCTGCCACAGTGAATTAGGTAGAAGCTTTAAAAATAAAATGAGAATGGGGGCATTCTCAGAGGAATATGTACACAACTAAGACATAAACACTGGTGTGTTTCAAAAACAGTACAATGTGACAATCATAACAGTACCTGGCAGAGAATATAGTTCAGCTAAATCTAGAAAGAAAAAGTTGTGGCTGCATTAGCCATGCCATTTATGCCAAATTTGGCAAGTGTTTTGTTTTGTTTCTTAAATACAGACCTGAAGAGCAGTGGACTCCTTTTAAACCAGGTTACATGATCAGATTGCTATTTCAGGTTAGTGTGGCGTCATTACTAAAGTAACTTTGTCCAAAAAAATAAAACAGAGCAAACAAAAACATACAAGTTACAGAGTAATTTAATGTTGTATTAGCCATAAAGGTGAAATTAATTTTTTACTTAACTCTGTATCATCTTTTTTCTTTTTGTTTTTTGAGATAATTTTGTGACCTTGAAGTTCCTGTATAGCCAAGAATGACTGACTTTCTGATCCCCCCTTCACTCTCAGAATGCTAGAATTACAGGCATGCATCTCTACATCTAGTTTATGCAGTACTGGGGATTAAACCCAGGATTTAGTGCATGCTGGGCAAACTCCCTTAACAACTGTGCTGGCTGATTTTATGTCAACTTGCCACACAAACTAGAGTTATCTGAAAGGAGGGAACCTCAGTTGAGAAAATGCCTCCATGAGATCTGGCTGTAAGGCATTTTCTTAATTAGCGATTGATGGAGGAGGGCCCAGCCCTTTGGATCGTGCCATCCCTGTGCTGTTTGTCCTGGGTTCTATAAGAAAGCAGGCTGGCAAGCCATGGGAAGCAAGCCAGTAAGCAGCACTCCTCCAGGACCTCTGCATCAGCTCCTTGCCTCCAGAATCGTGCCCTGTTTGAGTTCCTGTCTTGACTTCCTTTGATGATGAACAGTAATGTGGAAGTATGAGCTGAATAAACCCTTTCTTCCCCAACTTGCTTTTTGGTCGTGGTATTTTGCTGTAGTAATAGAAATTTGAACTAAGACAACTACATTCCCAGCCCCAGTTTATATATGTTTATATTAAATCTTTGAAATCTATAGTATATTTTATATTTACAGCATATCACAATTTAGATGGCAGCATTCATGGTTCAGCAACCATCAGCATCTGATGGCTATTTTATCAGCTGCTGTAGCTTTGGAGCCCACACAATAGAAGATGTGTAATGATTGGAATGAAATTAGAAACAGGAAAAGTTTGTTGAGTGAATCCAGTGAAAGTCAGTAAGGGTTTAAACAGAGAGAGTGGTAGATGTGATACAAGCAGCTTTTAGAAAATGGTTCCAGACTGGATATGCTGGTACAAGCCGCAACACAGGAAGTTGGAGACATAGAGTTATGTGAGTTGAAGGACAGCCTTTTTTCTTTGAAAACTTTTTTTAAAGTTTTCATATTCTGTATAGTCTTACGCAACCTGGTTTTTTTGAATTCAGCATTAGGTTTCTGCATCTCCTCTATATTGATGTGGCAAGCTATAGTTCTTGTATCTTTTTCTTTATTTTATTAAGAATGAGGGGTTGGAGAGATGGCTCAGCTGTTAAGGGCACTTGCTCTTGTAAAGGCCCCAGGTTTGATTCCCAGCACCCATGTGGCAGCTCACAACCATCCATGATTCCAGTTCCAGGGTACACAGACATATGCAAGCAAAACTTTTGACACATGCACACAAATCTTTAAAAAAAAATGGTTTGAGGCACTGTAGGAGGGCAGGGAGCAGGGCAGTAACTAGAGTATCCCTTTTGATATGTAACTGCGTTGTAAGCGTATACTATTACATTCAACGTTCCTATTGCTTTCCCTCCCCCTTTGACAGGCTGTTGCTGTGGACATTCATAGAGAAGTCTGAGTACAGGAGGAAGGGTTTCTTCTTAGATCTTTGACGTAGTGGGTCCTCGGAGACGTTTTTATTACAAGCATTTTTACCTACTTTGTAGCTTGCTTTATATTCAAAAGTTGACTTTTGATTTTAAAGTTCTGTAGTTGAAATGAACTTTTATGTTTAGTGCTTTTTTAAAGAGTCTTATTCTTCTACATGGTCACAGATTTTCTTTTTTAAAAGCTTTTTCATGTAAATTGCAGCTCATTTGAACCATGTATTGATTAGCCTTTTACTAGTTATCTGTTACTGCATAGTAAACTGCCCCAGCTTAGCAACTTACAATAGCAGATATTTATTATCTTTCTATGTGGAAGGAATCAGAGGGTTTGGGTTCAGGACTTCTGAGGTTCTCGTCAGTTATTGGCTATGGTTGTACTAATCTTACAGCCTCTGGCTCACTCATGACTGCTGGCCTTCATAGTTCTGCTTCCAAACTCGGTCATGTGGTTTTAGTCAGACCTTGGTCCCATGTCCTTTAAGTCTCTAAGATGTGCCTGAGGGGGTTGAGGGTATAGTGGTAGAACTCGGCACAGCATGCTCAGGGTCTTGAGTCCAGTCCCTAGCATGTGGCACGGAAGACACACATACTGGATACAGTGGCTCATACCTGTGTCTCCAGCACTCAAGGAGGATCACCATGGGCTCCAGGGCACCCTGGGGTACATATATGAGACCCTTTGTCAAAAACAAAAGCACAGAAGTTGTCTGAATAGTCTGAGTATCCTTCCAACATAGCAGTGAGCTTCTTGGAGTAATGAGAAAGTTCAAGAGAATACAAAAAGGAAAAATAAGTTGGAGGTGGGAAGGTTGTTTACTTGTTTTAGGTAAAGTCTCATCTATCTCTGCTGGCCAAGAACTCACTGTGTAGCCAAAGGTGTCCTTCAATTTATGGCTCTCCTTCCTCTACCTCCCAAGTGATGGGGTCACAGGTATGTCCATCTTATTCAGTGTTGGGGATCAAGCCCAGGGTTTCTTGCATGGTAGGCAAGCAAGCTACCGGTTGAGCTATATCCACAGGCCAGAAATAGCAGTCCTATTACAGTGTAATCTTAAACGGAACCTGTTTCTTCTGCTGCATTCAGTGCTCTGTGTAGTTCAAATTCAAGGGAAAGTAAGCTCTTCCTCTTAATGGAAGGTGTGCCAAAGTATCTGGACGTACCTTTTGGTCACCAGTCTGTTTCTGGCCTCTTTAGTTTGATCTATTGGTTCAGTTTGTTTACATCAATTTTCTTTTTTCTAACCTTAAATTTGAGTTTACTCCCAAGTTTCAGTTCTTGCTTTTCTTCCACCCAGTGTATTCATGTATTTTTATTCTAAGAGAATATCCATATCCCTTGGTACCTATGGAATCTTATCAGAAGATCTCAAACTGTATGTAGACATTGCGTCAGGCTCTTCATATCTGATATATGTGTGACACATATATTTTTTATTTATATTTATTAACACACATATATTTCTTCTTTGGAGAAACCTTCAATTATTATTATGATAATATCATGAGAAACAATGTCTAGTGTGTTAGTTTTCTATTGTTTAATATAATTGAGAGTAATCCACCTAAAACAAGAAACTGTTTTAGATTCATGGTTTCTGTGGTTATGGTCCATGGTTGGCTGGCTCAGTCCCTTTTGGGCCTGTGGTAAATAGTACATGGTTTAACAACTCTACTTCAGAACAACCCAGAAGCAGAGAGAGACAGATAAGGCCAGGTTCCCAATATTTCTTTGGAAAGAATGACTTTTCTTTCAGTAAGACCCCACTTCTAAAGGTTCTACTACTTGCTCATCATGCTGTAGGCTGGCAGCATGTCCTGGTGTCTAGGGAACACTCAGCTAGACTGTAGTATCCCGTATTTAACACTATAGGCTTTGATAGGAATTGTACATAGAAATGTTTCTACTGCTTGATGTGTGTAGCTATCAGCAGAGAGACCCATATCTCTTTAGTTTTCTATTCTAGGGAAGGATGGACAGTAAGTGTGGTTGTAACACAAATCTTAAAAGGTCTTATTAATTAAAAAACAAAAACAAAAACAAAAAAAAAACCCCTGGAGCCAGATATTAGGGTGAATGCTGAAAAATCAGAGAAACAGAACAAGCTACAGCCAATCTCACCTCGCCAACTCCTCAACTGATCCTGTTTCCACAAATCCTCAGACTGAAAGCCTCTGAGTCCTCACCCCTGAGGGTCTCAGTTGAACTGCTGCTAAAAAGCCTCTAGTGCCTGGTCTTCATGCTCTATATACCTTTCTGCTTCCTGCCATCACTTCCTGGGATTAAAAGCATGTGTCCTTCCCAAGCAAAGTCATGAGATCTCAAGTGCTGGAATTAAAGGTGTGTGCCACCACCCTTGGCTCTGTTTCCAGTGTGGCTTTGAACTCACAGAGATCCAGATGGATCTCTGCCTTCGAGTGATAGGATTAAAGGTGTGTGCCACCATGCCTGACCTCTATGTCTAATTTGGTGGCTGGCTCTGTTCTCTGATTCCCAGATAAATTTTATTGGGGTACACAAATAAAACATCACCACATGTGGTACCTTAGGCAGTCTTACATGTGAGCAAAAAGACATGAAACAGTATACAAAGAGTTGGTATTAGAGGAGGACGGCAAAGCTCCCGTGGGGGAGTGAACATGTGTTAGAGTCGGCAAAGGGACTAGCCAGTGAAGACCCCGCAGGAGCTGTCTAGTGACTGGACAGCAGCTATGCAATATGTAGGAAGTTAAGGGAAAGGAACAAATAGCAACGTATGAGAATTAAAGATACAAGGGAAGTAAAGGATATTCAAGAACTCAGGAGCTGTTTGAGGGCTTTGAGTAGAGGGAATCTATTCTGCCTTATATTTGTGTTTAAATTGCAGAGGCTGTTATATAAGTAGTGCACTGAAGTTGTGGCAAAGAAGAAATCAGGAATCAAGGCTGTTGTGCAGAATCCTGCCAAGATGTGATGTGATAGTCATTTAGATTAGAGGTGGTGATAAGTAGATTGCACATGTATTTTGAAAATAAGAACTATTGACATTTACTGAATTACTGAATTTTCAAATATGATAGCACCCAAAATTAAGTATTTTTGTTGTGGGAAAAATTTAGAAGACAAAAAGAAATTATAAATCTTGTATCTTGTGTTGCACTGAGAGATGACCACTATTCAAAATTTTCATGTATAACCCTTCTGGGTTTTACCCTCTTTGTATGTAGATATGGATACACAAATAGTGTATTGTATGAACAAATTCTGTATGTAATGAGCATGTTGCTATGTTATTAAGTGATCTCCAATATTTTAGCAGTTAAAAGGTTATTCTGTTATAGAAATGAATTCTAGTTTATGTGACTCTCTAACAGTACTTAGGATGCTTCTGGTTTTTTTCTGTTATAAATAGAATTTAAGGAAGCATTATTATATTTTTAATCATATGCATAGTTGAAAAAAAATCAAATTGCTTTTTGGAACCCAGAAATACTTGAAAGTGATGTTTCTCAAGTTCATAAAGTAGAATAGAATCTCTTCCTTTATAACCTTTTGTTTTCAACAGTTCACTGATTACTTGAGCCCAAAACAAAAACACCTTCCATTTACTCCTGTTTAAAATTTTGATAGGGAAAAATGAGTCTTATTTGCATTTCTTTGCTTTTTGTTTTTGAGACAGGGTCTTTATTTATTACCTCTGGCTGTCCTGGAATTCTCAGAGTCTATGTAGAGCAGGCAGGCCTTGAATTCAAAGCAATCTACCTGCCTCTGCCACCATGCCCAGCAAGTCTTCTCTGAATTTCATATTGTATGGGAAAATAGAATCACATTTGTTGACATTCGCACATTTTTTAATATTTTTAGTATGTGGCTAGTAATTTCTAGAATACTTGTGAGCCAGCATCTAATGATCAGTGCACGTAGGTTTTAACGGCCTTGGTTCGAGTGCAGTAATGCTTCTCTCTTCTCTTTTTTGGTCTCATTTTATGTAGTTTGCGTCCATCTTTGCTTTTGCCACCTGCGGCGGGTTTAAGGGCAAAACAGAAATTGAAGTGAGTTGTCCGAAAGGTGACAATGGGACGGTCACAGCTGCTTTTGGTTATCCATTCAGGTGAGTTTGTAA